AACAGCAATGGTCATTCAAATAATAGAAAATAACGAAAACGTGATGAGAAATTACTTGTTTAGATCTATCTTCCTACCAAATGGTCTCATTTCGAACGATACATTGCAACGACTGTTTAACTGGTTTGCGTGTTTTTCACAATCATTTCCACTAACAATGACACTAAAGCATCACTTAATGATTCAGTTCATCGACCACATACACCTTAACCAATAGGTCAACAAACAGTTTAGTTGACTAATGCAATTCAGTCAAACTATTCTTCTTATCTTTATTACCAACCAATATCTGATGTTCACCACCCATCACTTGGTCACTTGTAACAGTACAATGTCATGTAACAACACAATACTTATATAATTAGTCATAAAGACAGTTTGCTCGTCATTCATAGAACTATGCTATCAATAGGATAAGTAAAATAAAAGATGATTGCACTAAAATGGTCATCGATCAAGAAGATTGAATTCAACGAAAGGAATAATCTTGGTTTAATCGTTAATCATATCGGTGACGATCATTTTGTACTTTTGAAATTATGTAGTCAACCTGATTATGTCTGCAATTGATTGATGCAACAAAAAAAAGATATATTGAGTTCAACAAATTAACATTCTTCTATTCACTAATGGATTCAAGTATTCAAGAAAAAATTGAATCGATGTTTTCTTTTTGAGATAATTCATTAACAGATGTTCGACTATCGCATCTACTGAGCCATCGAAGAAATTATTTAAGGTTTGAAATGAGATTCATTTCGAAAATGCAAATCGTTGATCAATACTTAGCATGATTGAATTGGATAGCGGAAAGAACTGAAAAGAACAAGAGAATACAATCAATCAATATTCACTGTCTTGATGATTGATGAGAAAAGCATATTTCTTTTGGAAAATAATAAACAAAATCTCTGGTGCTCATTCTATTCTCTTCAATAATGGGCATAATTCTTCAATTTTCTCAAATATTTTCTATGTACCATTAATGACAAATAAAGAAGAGATAACATAAGAGCAGTATACTCTCTAAACTTCAAGAAAAGAACTCTGATATTGACATTGATTAATTGCCAAGAAAAGAAATTCTCTTTCAGCGGAAGTGTTTTAGAATACTAGTCAGCTACTTAGTCATGTCATGTTGTTTGAATTGAATGAATCAAATCATCAATAGTATCTCGTTCACATCAATGATGACTATAGTTAGTGATTCTTCAAATTTTTTTCGAAGCAGTTTTAATTGTTCGATCCATTTTTCAAGTCAATTTTCATCTAATCATTTATCGCAGCATTCAATTATAATTGTTTGTTCATTTGATTAAGTAATATCTTCAATTTATTCTTTGTTTTATGATGATGTTTTTTTTTTTTTTTGTACACTTAAAGTACGCGAAAGAACATCATATTCTTGGTCAACATGATCTATTTCTGTTGTAAGGTATTTTTAATGTTCTATAAATGTCTTGCAGATATAGATATAGCCTAGATCTTTATATATATATATATATGATCTACTTACTTTACCGACGAATAAAATGCAATTGAAACGTTCCAATAATCCACAGAATATGACACGACATGTAGATGGTTAGATTTGAATCATTGTTTTTTTCTTTTTGATTATAAATAACTTATTTTTACTATAGTGTTACAGTTGCTAGATGATTTCAACGATGGGAGTATTTAGGTTGCATGCATGACAATGAAGAGGATTATTATTAAAAAACAAACAAGAAAAGGAAATGGGTGTAGTATCAGTATGCGTGCATGAATACTGCTACGAGTAATTTCTATTATTATCTTCTATCTTATTTGTTATTAATATATTGCAAGATGATCAAAATTCGAAGTGTGCTTGTCTTTTAAAACGAACAGTACATTAATATCATTCTTTCAGACAATGATCGATACATCAAAACAATGTTAATATATAAGATTGATGCTTTGATATTACTCTATTGACTCGAGATAACTGAAAGAAGTGTTCTACCTTAAGATTCCAATCGTTATTGCCAGGTACGAATTAATTGAGTAAAGAAAAGAAATACTGATCAAGTGAATATATATGAACAAATTGACAAAAAGAAAACAAAACTAGATGTCAATGGGCAAAGTCTATGGCGTGATCGATGTGAAGAAGTCAGATGACAACATTGATAAAGTCAAACAAAGTAGAAAATATTTTCGGAACGATGTTAAATTATAGAAGAATTATAAATAGGACAAAAATTGATATAATTTTCTCACCATTTTACTTATTCCAGTAAAACGATGATTGTTTCCGAGCGAAAAGCAAATGGGGGTTTTAAACGGGTTAACGCAATAAGACAGTAATCTGTCTTTTTATAGTCGTTTCCAACAACCGAAATAAATACTCTCAGACTTAAGAAACTAAATGCATATTGTTTGTATTATTATCTGCTCTTTAAATACCGATCACTTCATATTTTCCAAAAAGCAATTTCTTGTTTTCTTCTTAATCGATAAAACTACTAGAACTTTTATGTTTTTAACTTTCTCTACCATAGATAGAGAAGAAGAAAAAAAAGTATAACATGAAATAATAGATTCGAATTTGTATGTCATCAACTTAGACGCACTTCACATTACCTATTTACATTCTGCTTTTTCTTTTTTTGTGTATGTATATTTACTTTTCTTCCCTTCTATATGATTTAAATTCTATGAATTTAGTTATAAGACGAATTGAATAGAAATCAAAATCAATTTGAAAAACTATGAATAAGAAATCATATTCATCTTTACTAGCTTTTGAGAAGTAAACAGTTTTGTATTTATTTCATGATAAATATCAATTGCATGAAGTTTTCATTAATATTGTAAATGAAAGCAATTTTTTTTTTAAATAAAGTTTGTTATAATACGAACAAAAAAAGTCGATTTGATTAATAACGATAAAAGAAAACATTTATAAATAAGATTAATAATATTGTCAAATTAGGTTTTAATGTATTGGAATCATCATAATTACATAAATCTCGATCACCACAACACGTAACACAACCCCAACTACGACTTTCATCGTTTGGTCGACATGGTGTTAATGAATGTATATAATTTAATTGACGTTCACAGGCTTTACGTTTTGTACAATATTTTGTAATTAATAATTGATTAAGAATAGCTAACAGAAACATGAATACAAATAAAAGAAGAAAAAAAAAACAAAAATTTTACCTGGTTTAAGTACAATTGTGACACATGTATCAAATGTTGGTTGACATTCAGTTGCATATGTTGAATTATTTGAATTACATTCTTCATTTGAATATTTCATTGCACATTGATAACAAGAAAGTGCTTCGATATCTAATAAAACACACACAAAGAAAGATTAATTTGAATAACTAATAATCCTATTTAATTTACTTTGATATCTAATAATCAATAATAATAAGACAATAATTGAAGACCACATTCATTCTGTATTTGATCAAGAACAAAACAATACGAAAAAAAAATCGACTATGGAAATAATGATACGCACTTGCAACTAAGAATGGCACTTACTCATTTCTCTTTCTTTTTTCTATCTGAGCTTAGTCGACATTAGTTTTTTTTTAGTACAACACGCAGTCGTCTTAATCCAATCTCTCGAGCATGAAGCCAACGGGAAAAAAAGACGCTCGTCTTTGCTTTTTCCCCCCATATATTTCTATACAGCTGTGTTGATCACCATTTTATGGAACAACAACAATAACAGGGAACCGGAACTCAGCTCATTGCACAGCCATATTGCTTGCTTGTAGGCCAAGACACTATTTATTTTCCGGTATCATTAGATGGCATAGAAAGAAAAAAAAAGTCTATCTATCTATCATGTGAGAAAAAAAGCCGAGAAGAACTGATTGATTGTAATGTTCGTCGTCGTCGTCGTTGTCGATTCTAATAGAATTATTCGTTCGTGACTAGAACGTATTACAATACAATGATGTATATATTTTCTTTTTCTTTTTTTTTTTTTTCGTATATGAGAATTGAGCAAAAAAAACGAATAATAAGAAGAAACATATAACGATCTACATATAGTCGTCTAAAAATGTGAGATAAAAGAGAAAATGGCACCGAGAAAGAGAAAGAAAAAGTCGAAAGAGATAGAGAGAGATGTACACATGTTGCCATTCAAAAAAAAAAAAAAAAAAAAAAAGTATATGTCATTTAGCATTGCACAACACTTGAATAATCGCATCGATCGCTTAATGTACTAAATCGAAGACCAGGTGGACAATTACGACTATAAAGAATTCCATTTGGTAAATTTAAATCATCTAAAATAAAAGATGAATAATTTGAATTTTTTAATGTTTTGTTTCTAACTTACATTGTCCATAATAAACACATTCAAAATAACGTCCTTGTTTACAATGTGATACATCAGCAAAACGACCATTACCTTGACAACGAAAATATTCTAAATAGAAAAAAAAAAAATTTTTTCTTTTTATTGCATTACATTTTTTTAATCATTCATACCTATTTCACATCGTTGACCAGTAAAACCTGGTTTACAAATGCAAATAGTATTAAATCCTTGTTCTTGACATGTAGCACCATTTTCACATGATTGACTACAGCTAAATTGACCAGTTTTCATACGAGATGCTTAAAAAAAAATGAAAATATACTCAGTTATTCTTATTTATTTCATCAAACTTACTAATTACTGTTTCACAAAATGGTCCAGTAAATCCATTAGAACATTGACAAAGTTTACCACTAGCTGAATTCGTATAACATATACCACCATTACGACAAAGACATTCGCTTTGAAACGGCTTTTCTTCTTGCGTAGTCGATATTTCATCTACACAAAAAAAAAATCATATGTGATGAAAATTTTACAAGATTTTTCTTAAATTATGATTATTCTTACTTCTTAAACCTGAACTAGTATCTTTACTAGTTGACGAAGTATTACCACATTGTGGTCGAAAAACTCGATCAGGACAAAAACATGCGTATGCATTAACAAGATCATAACATGTACCACCACCGAAACTAAAATTTTCAAAAATTAAACAAAAAAACAACAAAATTTATATTCGAGATTGTACCAAGGATTTGAAGCACATTCATTAATATCTAATAAAACATAAGAAATAATAACAAAATTTATTTCTCAAAAAAAAAAAAAAAAATTTTTTTTACTCAACTGTTTTCACAATAAGCACCCGTATAACCTTCACGACAACGGCATGCATATACTCCTGTACCCGTCATTAAACATTGACCACCATTACAAGTATCTCTTGCCATTGGACTACAGGTTGAAACCGTAGGAACCGAATTTATACTTCCTGCTCCTCGAGGTTTTAAACTATTGCCAAATATGAATGATGTCATTGTAGTTGTTGGTTGTATTGGTAATGTATAAAAATTTCTTGTTGAATCTAATTTTATTATTATTATTATTTTTTGACATGAAATTATCGGAAAAAAAAATATTATTTCTTGTCAACATACTAGGTGAATTACATGAAAGATTAAGTGTGCCATCTGGGCATATGCAAACATAAGAAGCTCCATTTTGATTTAATTGATAACAAATACCAACTGTACATGGATTTGAAGCACAACCGGAGCTTTTTATTCGAACTATACAATAAATAATTTTTTTATTATTACTTAAAACTTATTTTTTAGATAACAGAAAAGATTATTATCTTATAGACAATTCAATATGATCTATAATCTGAATAGATCAAAAATAAGTTTATGTAAAATGTTTGTTAGCCTAGAAAATCAATTTTTTAAAGACCTAAGGATATTTCTTGTGGTTATATTTGGAATCAGTACGATCGATAATTCGTATTCTAATAGCTTTTAGTAAGAAAGCAATTGATCAGTTGAAAAAGTTTCTTCGTGAAAAATTAGAGATTCACAACAATGAATCGTTTATTAGAATTATCTTCATTACCTTCACAGTTTTGACCCATATATCCTTCATAACATTGACATCGATAACCAGAATTATCTGATGAACAACGTCCATTAGTTTTGCATGGATTTGATGAACACAAATCAATTTCTACAATACAAGCAATTCATTTTCTTAATATCTATTTTTAACAATAAATAGACCTTGTTCACAACGTAAACCAGTATAATTCGGTGGACCTACAATATAAATGGCATGAAAAACAAATCATTTTTATTTAAATAATTATAAATATTTAATTACATTGACAACAAGTCGAACCAATTTGACCAATATTACATGATGGGTCATCAACAGAAAATGGTACACATGTGCCACCGTTCTTGCACGTCATGTAAGTACAAAATGAACTAGTAGCTATTCATAAATAATCAAAAATAAAAATTTAACTCTTATTTCTATGTTAAATCTTTTTACTTGGACATGTATCAATAGTTGTATAAGAAATACCATCAACTTGACACATACACATATATCCTTTTGGTGCTGCATTTATAGTTAAACATCGTCCTTGTGGTCCACAAGGCATTGATATACATGGATCTAAAAAAACAATGATTATTTTATTTATGTTCATCAATACAAAAATAAAACGTAGAATTTACTTTTAGGTGTCGAACAATTTGTCATTTGAATAGTACCATCAAAACAACGACATATATATCCATTGAGTAAATTAGCAGTTATTTCACATTCACCTGGGCCACATGGATTTGGTAGACATGGATCTAATGAAAACAAAAACCATGACTTTTTCTTCTTTATAAATAAATAACCTACTTGGATCAGCACATTTAAACATTGTATTTTGTCCATCAGGACATTGACAATAATAAGGAATATGTGCATGATTTGTTGAAATACATTTACCAAATGAACCACATGGTGATGATTGACATGGATCTAGTATTATTCAAAAAAAAAACGAAATAAAACAATTTTTATTCTCTCATACAAATCAAACGAAGCCTACTTTTTGCTTCTGTACATAAAGTACCATTCCATTCAGGTAAGCAATGACAAAGAAAACCATTCTCTAAGTCAGTACATGTGGCATTATTCGCACATGGATTTGATGCACATTCATCTAATTCTAATAGTACAAAATGAATAGTAACTTCTTTTTTTTTGTATTCTGACTGTTATTTTTAGTTAAACTACCTTGATTACATGTCGATCCAGCAAAACCTGGATCACATTGACACGTAAATGAATTAAATGTATTTGGAATACAAGTACCATGCTTATTACATACATCCGGCGTGCATACTACATTTAAGAGATATGGTTATAAATTTAAGATAATATCTATTATACATACCTTGAGCATTTGCAAAATTGTTGAGAAATGAAATGATAATAAGAATTTTAATAAACATCAAATGTGATGTTAAGCTATTGCTAGTGGATGTCATAGTTCAAAGAATGTTGTCTGATTTAAAATAAAAGCAAAAACAAAAAAATTGAATAAATGAAAAATAAAAAAACATATGATAATATGTCTCGACGATGCCTTCATTGTTCTATTTACTCGTCGTTTGAGAAATGGCTCAAATGTCTATCGATCTTCAATAGGAACGAGACATATCATACTCTCTTGTATTTTGTAAACATCATAGTATGATTTCATCTCAGACATCTATTGCATCATGTATATGGACCAGTATCTGTTTCCTATGTGATACTCACGAGATACACTATTCATTGTGTGAAAAACAACGTCATGAAAAAAAAAACAAATGTACGGGATAATAGGTTCTTCTTATTCTATTCTTTCTCTCTTTCGAAGTAATCAATATTTGTAAGGAAATAAATGAACAAAAAGAACAAGAGAAAGAAAGATATAGGTGTATATAATTAAACAACGACGATTGTTGGTCCAATACAAATAGTCCATTTCTTTTGTGCTATTTATTTCTTCTATTTATTCTACCTTGAATGCCGTCGCTCAACGTCTCTTAATGAGATGCAAATGATGATAGACAGAAAGAGAAATATCCCTTTATTGTTTCATGGTGATCAAGAGACTAAACAAGAAACAGAGACAATTCACCTTGTTTCTTAGTCGGATTATTGATTGAACATCATTATTATCATATATACAATAGATAAACAAATTTTGATCTGTTGTCGCATAAAATTTCTATGAATAGATTAGAACACAATTGTATTTGTTGAAAAACAAAAGAAAAGATATAAATGAATTGATCATGTTTCATTGTAAAATAGAAAAGAAAAACGAAGACAGACAGACATTAATCAAACATAATGAATCAAATAAACTTTCAATCAGTGGCGGATCTAGGATTTTAGTAAATAGCGATGATCATCGTCAGAAGAAAAAAGAAAAACGTCTTTTCAAGTCAAATTAGAGATTGTGTTGGCTCATTTTTCAGGCATTTTCTTTTGAGAAAAATAGTTTCGAAGAAAGAGGCGACCATTCTAAATGTACCCTCTAACTCCATGACTGCTTTCGATAAAATAAACGAAATGGATTGATATTTCTAGTTGAATATTTATTGTTTATTCATTTCTTAGCATTTCTAGTCTTCAATATAACAATATTCGCTATATTAATGATGAACAACGCGATGTTCAACAGCTTTATTATGTATAAATAATAAATATTCAACTAGATAGACTTCTAAACTGATATATCAATATAGATATAGACTACAATTCAAGAGAATAGAAGATAAAAACATTTTCCACTGAAATATCGAATTCGTCCGTAATTAAATTATGACAAGATTTTAATAAGATATTTTGTTAACTGAATGATTATGTGACACTTATCTTATTGAAAGAAATATGAGCAATAACACAAAACAACATAACATGAAAAGAAAAATGATTACTTAATCGTATGTATGTTTCATTTTCACACATACTCAACATTTGACAACAAGTTTCATACCAGTAAAATTATCATTTTCATATTTTTTAAGATGAAATTCAAGCATTGAACGGTCGCGGATGTGTTGATAAATCTTCTATACACACTTACACGTGTACCTACTAAATATTGATAGGATTATTAAGTCGATAATTGAATATTAACTGCAGTTAGTTAAAGCGCCTAGCATTGATTAGAGATAGCGAATGATCAGAAGGAAACTCAATTCGTCTTATTGAAAAGTGAAATTGAACGATATTCTTATTATATTAGCTAGCAAAGTCTTAAATTTAACTTGAGAATTTTTTAGAATTATTTTTCATGAGTAAGGCTCTTCTTAATTGTTAATCTTGAGAATTTCTCCAAACTTAATATTCAGCGATATGATCTACGAACCAACACTGCCGTCACATTACCATCAACAGATCTAATTACTGTCTTGAAAGCCTGTTACTTGCAATGCCACGATGTTGAACTCTTTTCTATACTACTCTTTTATGTTCGATTTCAAAATAAAATCCAGTCAATTCTTTTGAAACAAATTTTAAAAAATCATCAAAAGCTGTCGAAAAACAATTTTATGGAACTCACCCTTTCATTAGTGAGTGTCTTCTCATATCTTGTTGAAGATCATCATATGTCGATAGTTTTCTCGCAATTTTTCAATTTTGACAAAGTATCGTTTAGTCAATCTTCGAAGTGTAACTGTAGTATAGTTTTCATCGTATACTTGCATGAACAAAAAGATCTTTTCAACAACTTTTTCTGTTTTGAAGTTCACTTCAAAAAATAATCCACTACTTTCTCTGTTAAAATCACCATTACTGATATTTGCACAGAATATGATATTTCTATCACTTGCTATTAACTGTTCGACAACAGTCATTGTTCCATCGTTGTTTTGTATCTAATTCGCTGATACTTGATATAGAATGTTTTCATTCCAGATCCGTGGTTGGTAATATGCCGCTGTATCTGATCTAGAACGGAAATGTAATATAGAGTCAGTTAAATCTCGTCTTTCATTTTTTTCCAAACACACTAAGATTGTTGTATTTTTTTTTTGTAGTTGGTTATTTGTTGAAAGGTAGAAGATTCAACAGTGCAAAACGCTAGAAATGTTTATTAATGAGAAACATTGTAATGAAAAATCGATATTTGGTCTGTGAGTTGTATCATGACTGAATTGATTATTTAGAAGCCCTTTTTTTATGGCACAGATAGAGTCGACCGATTAAACAAAAAATTTTATATTGTTTGTTGAAATACCCGATTCATAAACTTTAGACGAGATTGTTTCATCGGATAGGTACCATCTAAATAAATTTGAATGATGCAAACTAACCTTCTGAAATTGTTTTCAAACTAAATAGAGAACTTGTATTTCAACTCAAAATCTCATCAATTGATGACAAAAACGATAGTCACTCATTAAAAACTGTTTATTTTAGATTTAACGTCAATTCGTTCGACCATTACTTTCCAAGCCAAAACAAGATTATGAAAAATTATTCGGCTATCATCATAATGAAGGTAGTGAAACGCCAGTATTCAATGTCTTTTCACAAGATAAATTATTCATTTAGCTTATGACAAAAATCATTATATACTAGTAATCTATAAGTATCATGCTATTTGATCGTTACTTTCACTCAATCATTGTATGAGTTTGACCGCAGAAGAAGCACCAAGTTAATAAACATAGGTTAAAAAATGTACCGTATTAAATGATCTTATTTTGTAAATAGATGATCCTTACTTTGAAATGTATTATGATCCAGCAGATGAGTCGCCTACGGAGCCTCTCATCGATGAACATCAATATGCGGAATATTCTATTGTGCCATGGAAGTGTAAGTTTGACTTTCGTTGACTTGCTGATAAGCTCGTCAGTGGTTTGCATCAATTGGTTTTTTGTTGTCTAAAGAAAAATAATCGTCTAAAAGGAGTTAATTAATTGAAATCATTTTTAAGAAGATGTATGAAGCAAATATTACAGAAAAATGTGAAATTCAAAGAAAGCACGGACACTATTTTACTGCAAACACATTGCTGTGCTAAACAAGTATCAATGAGATCATATAGACTAAATTCTTTCAACGACCACTATCCTTTTTTGTTGATAATTATCTAATTATCGTTTATAGCCGTCATTTGAAATATGATCAAAGGATTTGTACAACCTTCATGGATCAATGCAAATCTTGAAAGAAACAAAGACATACGTCATATGATTGTGAGTTGCTTCAACATTCTCATCTATTTTTTGTGAACAATATGGATTATCATTGTCTTCCTTCTTTGCTTTTCATGTATTTTCACTGCAATTGTTTGTGATCTCTACACATGCAGGTCATCAAGCACTTTGATTCAAGGTTTTTTTATATTTAATATAGCCAGTATTCTTTTATTGAACAAACTTACGTGTTAGGAAAGCTGCATAAGTGCAAAAGAATTTATATTATTGTTTTTGGAAAAAACAAGAAAAAAACGGTTTTTGAACATTTATGATCTTCGAAATGAATTCCATATAGAGGGAGGAAAAATATTTTGAGGAAGAGGGTGGGTGTAAACATGGTTCGAGAGAAGCACCACACCTTACCTACATTCATTCGGTTTTCCAATGAACTATGCATCGTCATTTGCTGTGTCTGAGGTTAAAAGAGTCTGTGAGACAGCAAATGACTTTGGGAAAAAAACAAATTTCCTGTTTCTACTTTGCGATGACGAAAATAATCGCTCCAATCGAAAGCTGATTGTCATTCAAAGTGTGTACACTGCTTGATCAACTCAAAAATAGCCCAAATGGGCTCGAAAAAACAACAGTCATGTAATTGATCGTCATTGTTCAGTATTCATCTTTTTGGAAACAATTTTGCTTATGAATTTAAATAACTGAGTATTGGTGACTGAACGAACGAAGAAGATATAGATAGGGGATATTGAAAAGTGCGCCCAGAACTGAGTGCCAGGAGAGTATTCATTAATAATCATAGTGATCAGAGTCGTCTGTCGATTGTCTATCGAAACTCTTAATATGGTGGACTTCAATTCAGATTGGGAAATTTTGCGTCGAGTTCTGCCGGGTCCGATAAGATCGAACAGCTTCCGATGCTCGAATTTTGTCTGATTGATTGAGAGATTTTCTTATTGAATCCGACGTGTGTGTGGGAGTGTGTGAGTGAGCTGAACAAACATATCCTTACTCTAAACAACGCTCATATTTACATTCATGCAAACACCCACACCCACACTTCGCCACACATCTACATCCACACTCAACACGAATCTGACAATCATATAAAATATTTTTTGCAACTGATTGTATCCACAGTTGACAATTTTTTGTCGGTTATAAGAGAAACGAGCATCACCTCCTACCTATTAGGTCTGAGAAAAAACATGAATTATGGTGTATATTTCTTTTGGTTTAAATGTCGATCTATATGTCAATCCATCAAATTTGACGTATACAACGTACAG